GCTTTTTATTATCCTGTCTTAACATCCCATAAACGGATAGACTTATCAACACTACCAGATGCTAATGTAGTACCATCAGGAGAGTAACAAATTGAATAAACTGCATATGAATGGCCATCTAATTTGGCTTATTATTATCCTGTCTTAACATCCCATAATCGGATAGACTTATCTCCACTACCTGATGCTAATGTAGTACCATCAGGCGAGTAACAAATTGATAAAATTATTTCAGAATGACCATCTAATTTGGATTTTTATTTTCCTGTTTTAAGATTCCATAAATACATAAATTCTCCACTACAGAAAGCTAATGTGCTATTATTAGGTGAGAAGCATACTGATTTTACTTCTTCCTTTTGTTTAATTCTAGACATAATTTTTCCTGTTTTAACACCCCACAATATAATCGAATTATCATCACTACAAGAAGCTAATGATTTACCATCAGGAGAGAAATTAACAGACCTTACTGCGCTAGAATGACCATATAATTGATTTAACTCATGTATTTTGATATTTTTCCATTTGCAATTAAACAATAAGGCTTAATTCAAGTTCATTCCACTTATATCCACTTTATCAAATTCGGATTCATTGAAATTGCATCGTACAAAATTTCCACCAACTAAAGAGGTATCTCCAATCCTGATATTCTCAAAACTTTATTCTCTCAAATCAACCTTCATCTAAACTAGCAAATGAAGAGAATTTGATCCACACTTAATGTATCTCTCATCTAAAGCAGTTAGTTGAACTAAAAATTTGAGAAATTCTATGATTTTCTTATCCCATGATATTTTTATGATCAGTTCCTTTTTACCTTCTTCATAATCTTCAATTGAGTAATTCAGTTTATTAAATTCATGATCCCTAATCTTTTTGAGAATATACATTATTCTCTTATTGTTATTCTCACAATTGAGAGTCTATTCTTTATCAAGAAGAGATAAAATTTTGACCTTTTATCTTTCTACTTCTAAAAGGAATTTATTTTGATCTTGTGAGAGAAATTCTAGGCAGTCTTAAATTCTCTCTTTTTTTAATGTCTCAATGAGGATACGGAGGACTATTTCATCAACCTCTTTGGATAAGATCAAAACCTTATACAACTATTCAAATTAGAGCATTTGCTTTTTTTTAAAAAATTATTGAATTTCTATTACTTTACTTTGAGTTTTATACTATGAATCAAAATGGTATCTTGCACATTTTTGTTTGAAAGATATATAAACGATTTAGTGTTTGGAATTGATGTAAATTGTACAAGGGAAAACTCACATAACCTTGTGCATGATTGAAATTCTTAAAAATATAGAATAAAAAAATCATCAACAACATGGGATAATCATCAAGATCTGCATTTATGATTCAACATTCATATATTCAATTTAATAACTTCAAGTATTTAAATCTTTGGTATTGAATTATGATTTATGTCAAGTTTAAAGAGTGAATCATTTTTCTAAATCAGATTTTTTAATAGAAAATTTTTAACTTAATCAGATAAGTTTTTAAAATTATTCTCTCTTTAGACTGATATTTATCTTATTTCTACAAGTTCTATATTATATGTAAATATACAAAGTTTTCTGAAAATTAAATATCTCATTCACAGTTAATGTCAATCAATATTACTGAATTTTTACTTACAACTTAAAATCTAATTATTACTATTTATCTATGTCAAAATTTACTATTAACAACAAAATTAATAAAATTAAATTGATATTGTATTTTTAAATGGCTTTTTCATAATTATCAATTTTTTTTCTAATTGAGTTCATTTTATTAAATTAAACTACCTTTATAATAATCTCGTATCCTTTATAATCAACAAACTCTACTTTCTTTCATTATTAAAAGCTTCTATCTGACTAAGTTGTAATTTAAAAATTGTAGGCATATTAAATATACAATTTCTACACGATTGTACTCTCATGCATATTGAGATTTAATAAATATATTCAGCTGATCAAAACTTTATATCAAATATATATGTTAATATGGTAGACTTATCTTAACTACCAGGTGCTAATGTAGTACCATCAGGAGAGTAACAAATTGAATTAACTGCTTATGAATGACCATCTAATTTGGCTTTTTATTATCCTGTCTTAACATCCCATAAACTAACAATAACTTTTACTACAAATTAAAGAGTTTAGGCCTTAGTTTCCTTAAAATTATGAAAAATAAATATTTAAGGTGAAAGCAGTCTGAGAATTTCTCAATAAATTATTTCCAAATGAATTCAAAAGTATTATAAGCTATTTTTGAATAAGTTATTCATGACAGATTAATTTTTAATAGGACCAAATTCGTTTCGCAATTATGAAATATGTTTAAGTTTGCAGCTGGGTGTATATTAGAATCTCCATGCAAATTTATAAAGATATTTTGAAATTTAACGTGTAACTTAGGAATAATATTGTCGTTTGATAATATGTAATGTCAGTTTATATTACTATTTGCTAAATGTATCGATCAATTTGCATTCTACATTGAAAATTATCAATAAATGAATTCTAAATTTACTTTGATAATAATTTCTAAAATTAATTTATTGAGAATTAAAATAAGTAGTAATTAATTGGTTCAATATTTACTTTTTATTCCAAACCACATGGTTCTTGTTACAAGGTTATTTTTATCAATATTACTGCTTTTATTCGACTTTTCATAAGAATTCAAACAAAATTAATCTATTTCGAAAACTTAAGCGTTTTATTTTGATGTGATTTTCATTATTTTTAATTATTGTTAATTTTTACAGCATGAATCTGTTCAAAAGATGGTCTCCTAATTACTAACAATGGGAGCTTGAGCAAATTGTTATTAAAACTAATTATTTTTTGCCATTCTAGGTATACTCATTAACGACAAGCAAAACAGACATTGCTTTTTAGAGCATAAGCTATGTGGAATAGAAATATTTCATTAATTAACATCATTAAAATTGGATAAATTGGTACTAAAAAGAGTAATTGCTATCATTGATATAATGTAGAAAAATCGACAACTTAAATTTGATTTCCAATTAATTTTAAAACCAATTCAAAATTATAGATAATATTGACCATGATAGAGGATAGAGAATTATTTATTGATAGCAAAAATGTTTTTTTTTGCAATTACACCTAGATATTTTGATTTATCAAATCTAAAACTAAGCAAAAGTTAAAATTCGAAAGGAGAAAATATAGATTATAATTGAAAAAAGTAAAGTTTAAATTTGGAATATTTCTTAGACTTATCCAACAATTAGAATAAATATAAAAAACCTCAAATAGTTGGTAGGAGAGTACTTATAGCTTTTATTGGAAGTGGAATAAGAAGGTGATCTGTAAAATATTAGGGGTTTGTGATAAAAGGGGAAAATTCAAAAACCTAAAAAAGGATTCTAATAAAAAAATAATTTAGCCGAAATTTACATTCATTAATAGATTTATTGTTCAAATCTACATATCATTAATTCAATCTTGAAAATTTCCAAATTCTCAGACCAAATAAAATAGTTCCATTATATTAATCGTCTATGAATTTTCCTAGTTAGCCAAAATACAACAAGGGATTTGGGGATAAAATTTTACCAAGGAAGCAAGAACAAAAATGGACACTTTTATGCTCAGCCTGAAGAATAACAGTTAAAGTCATAAGGCATCTTGCTTTCCCTACTTGAAAATTTAATTCCCTTTAGAATTGGCGGTACCTGCATAGTTTTTTGACTCACAAATCCCGGGGTGGTACCTGCATAGTTTTTTGACTCACAAATCCCGGGGTGGTACCTGCATAGTTTTTTGACTCACAAATCCCGGGGCTATACCTGCATCCTGAATATAGTAGGGTCCTCTACCCTACGGCCGGAATACGAAT